TGTGGTTTTGAAAGAGGAGTGAAAATAATTACTTCTGCACTTATGATAATACTGTGGTTGCTAGAAGAAAGGACTTTTAGGGCTGACCAGTGTATGTACCTGTACGTCCTCTCCTTTTCTCCCTAACCTTTTCACACTTTGATCCATGGTAATAGTACATGTGCTTGCACCACTCTATCAGAAGAATTCAGGGCTGTCTTTTACCCTGACAGCTCTTTATTCCTTATATGCTTTCTTCCCTTGACATCTGTAGAAGGAAGGGTCCCTGTTTTTTTTTCCTTCTTCTCCTAATCATTCCTTGTTGTGGGTACCTCTTAAATATTAGTGTCTTAGACTTGGGTACTTGACTCTCTTCCTACTTTGTGTGTGTTTTTTATTTTTTATTTGCACAATAATCTTTAATATTTTTCTTAAAAAATTAAAAAGAGAAAGAAATGCAAGGTGTTTTAGTGTGTTGACTGCATTATAAAGTATCATATATAAACCAAAAGATTTTTTAAAAAGACGGTGTGGCTATAGAGAAAACAAATGTCAAAGGAAATGCAAAGGAAGGAAAATTTTCATAAATCATGGAAAGGACCAACCTGATAGGTTGCTTCCCAGTGTTTCTCAGAAGATAGAATGTAAACCAGAATGGCTGTTTTATTTAGATTGGTTATAAAATCAGACAAAAGAAATCTGACAGTTCAGAATCTATCACAGAAAATCAAATATGGAAGAAATGAAAACTTTAATTATTTTTATTAATTTGTTTTTGTTATAGATGTTTCTCCTTTTTCCCCATTGACATCCTCCTCCCTATCCCCCCTGCCCCTTCTCCAGCTTTGTTGTCCATGTCCATTGGTTATGCATACATGCATATAAGTTCTGTGGTTTATCTCTCCCCCCAATACCCCCTCTTCTGGGGTTTGTCAGTCTGTACCCTACCTCTATGTCTCTGGGTCAATTTTGTTCATCAGTTTGTTTAGTTCATTATAGAAATGAAAATTTTTAAATTAAATTTAAGTATCTGGATATATAGAAAGTCCATGTGTTTTGACAAGTATAACACATTTTATGTTGGTGAAGTTGGTTGTTTTTTCTAAGCTCTTCTTAACAGTGTAGATGAAGCTATTTGTTCCAACTCTTCTCTAAGGGAAGAAGTTAGGAGCTACAATTGCAACAGTTATAAACAATACTGGGTCCTAATATTATCTAGTAACTCACATTTTCTGAATTAAAGTTTTGGTAGGTTTAGATGCTCAGTTTAAAATGATTTTCAGTAGATGGGCAGTGGGTATGGCCTGACATATAAAAATATCAGCAAGCAAAGAAGTGACTGGATACACACTGCAGGTATTATTCATTTAAGTGTCCAGAACTTAAGGACAAAGCCCTCATTCGCCTAGGATATTCACTGCAGAAATATAGAGGCTGTATCTAGTGAGCTGGGATTAAGTCTTGGGCATATTACTGCTTAGTTACCTCTATATACGGCAACTGGTAGAAGTGAGTATATCAGAAATCTTAGAATTATCTTTGTATAATATTTTAAATTTTACAAATTTATCTGCAGTCCATTTATTTCATTATCGCTCCTTCCAGGAACCTGGACACTCTCCTTTGGTGGTCTTAGGAGTCTTTTCAGCATACTTATTTTTCAAGAAAAGGAAATTTTGCTTTGAGCATTGAAATGCATAAATGGTTCTGCTATATTTATTAAAAAGCTCTTGAAGTATTTGATTCTTGGTTGAGGTAGAGATTATCCACATTGGTTGGAGGGGAGTTGTTATCTTCAGTATTTTTTAAAATCACTCTTCCTGAGAAATTGTTTTCGGAATTTATCCAGGTTTTCAAGAAACTGTTCAGAAACTTTTACATAAGGACCTAGACTGGATCTTATAATCTCTGGTTCTATGTTTGATATTGGATTCGGCTTTGTTCTCTTTTTCCTCTTCATTAGTGGAAATGGCATCTAATTCATGGCAGATGGAGCTTATGGTTGGAAAAGTAAATGGATCAAACGACCCACTTTCTGTAAATCAATTGGCACTGAAATTTGACCTGTTTTAGGATGAACACTAAAAGGGCCCCTTAGCAAACGATTGATTCATTAGCTAACATTGATATCCAGCCATGGAAAACAGTACCTGGAGCATGATCTCCCATTCAAGCCAGGGTTTGCATTTGTCATTTTTGATGTCATTCAGATGTCTGGCTACTGTCTTCATATGCTCCTTCAAATGTTCCCAAGGCTAAAGTGAACTGTGATGCTTTTGGAAGCTTTGTTGAAGGTCATCGTGAATTGTTTCAGGAACAAGAGCTTAAAATCTTATCACAGCTTTCTTTATTTCCAAGAATATCTTGACCAACTAAGACATATTCTTCAAAGTGTTTATTATGTTTATAGATTTTTCTGACAAAAGGGTGAATTTTTTCACTTAGATGAACTTTAAAAAAAATTTTTTTTCTTTATTGATTTTAAAAAGAGAGAGAGAGAAACATTGATGAGAGAGAACATCGATTGGCTGCCTCCTGCATGCCCCCCACTGGGGATCGGGCCCACAACCTGGGCATGTGCCCTGATCAGGAATTGAACTGGCAGCCTTTTGGTGCATGGGTCAACACTCAACCCCTGAGCCACATTGGCTGGGCAGATGAACTTTCTTTTTAATGTCTTGACCACTCTTTACAAGACTCAAATACTCAACTATCCCAGACCATACTGCGGAGGACAGTTTTCTAACTGATTCATCACCCAATAATGAACACCTATTCTTCCAGAACATACCCAGAGGCAATGTTTAAGTTCATAGTCCTCCTTCAATGCTCGGGCGAATGCATATGGCCATTGTCATAAAGGTTCAGCACTTAGAATATATTTCTGCAGAAATACAGTATCTCCTCATGTCACCATATTCCATTATGTCAATATCAAACACCAGTTTTTTTTCTTGATCCTGGAAAGCTCCCAGCTGTACTGTATTATGTTGATTGGGTCTATGGGAATATACTGCACCTATATAAATTTTGTATGGATTCATTCTCTGCATCTCCTTTTCCAGATCACTCTGGTTGTTGAAGGATTGGTAGCAAATGTAAATATTGTCTTTCAGTATGAATGAAAATTATTGGCATTGAGAGTAATTTTTTATCGTTCTGCCACAGTTGAGCCAGTGGTATAGTACTAGGCAAAGAGAAAGAGCCTCCGGTAAAGCTTAAGCAACTCAGGTAGCTCAGCGGGGGTCAAAGACCTCCATGGAATTCAGTACTCCGCCCCAGCAGGGTAATTGCAGGAATTGGTGGGAAATGCACAGGAGCCTCTACTATGTGTTCTTCATGGACAGTTTCACTTATGTCAGAGTTGCAGCTACCAATTATGTGCCAGTGGTTTCCAAGTCTGTTTCTCTATCCCATTCCTCTCTTGAGCTCTGGACCAAATCTTTGCCTACCTGCTGTGGCAGGCCTAGAGTAGGTATTTAATAACCATTTCTAGAATGTATGAATGTTTAGAACCTAACCCAACATCTCTTTGCCCCCAACTGAGCCTGTCCTCTCTGTTCTCTTGCTGAAACGACTTCCTAGTATCCAGATTTCACTTGAATGTCTTTGACTCATTCTCCTTTTTTTCACTTGACATTTACTCCATAATCACCAGTTCCTCTCCAGGTTTGGGGAAAGGACTGACTTCAGTGCACTGCCCCCATCATCCAAACCTGCTTTGATTGCATTTCATTCAGGCTTCTAATTTAGGCCTAATCACAGTGCAGTGTAATTACAGGTTTACTTTTCTGTCTCTTCCTCTCTACCCCCAAGTTTGTAGGCATATCATAAATATTTATTCTAATTTGCTTTATTATTTCTTTTCTCAGATTTTTATTAAATTGAATTGCTGATGTTATATGTATTGATGTGCTCCATAGTTTATTCATCTTAAAAAGTATGCTAATAGAGTATTTTTCAACCTTACTCATGAAAATAAATCCCAAGATTTGAGTAATGAATCAGTATGGACAGTTTCCAGAAGTGTTTCTTTGTAAATCTTTTAAAACTTGACTATACATAAAATGTTAAATGTTATACAGAGTATATAGCAGAAGTATCTTTGAGGACATAAATAGTGCTTGGTACATTAAATGATAAAATGATATCATATGATCATAATATGGTCAGTGGTGTATATGTAGTCAACATGGAAATAGATAAGGCATTGTTTCCTTTGATTTGTCTAGGGTAAATTAGTGTAGTAAAGTCAGAATGTCTCTTGTTATGTTAAACCATTTTCTTGTAATGCTATAATACCTTAATTAGGTACAGCAGAAAACAAAGCTTTTTTCATTTGGTTTAGTTCTTTAAATTATTATTATTATTTTTTGTTGTTAATCCTCAACCGAGGATATTTTTTCATTGATTTTTAGAGAGAGTGGAAGGGAGGGAGATGGGGAGAGAGAAAGAAACATCAATGTGAGAGAGACCCAGGGCTAGGAACCGAACCTACAATCCAGGTTAGTGTCCCTGACCGGGAATCAAACCTGCAACGTTGTGGTCTGTGGGCCAAAGCTCTAACCCACTGGTTCTCAACCTTCCTAATGCCATGACCCTTTAATGCAGTTTCTCATGTTGTGATGATCCCCAAACATAAAATTATTTTTGTTGCTACTTCATAACTGTAATTTTGCTACAGTTATGTCTTAGGCGACCCCTGTGAAAGGGTCTTTTGACCCCCAAAGGGGTTGCAACCCACAGGTTGAGAACCGCTGAGAGTCTAACCACTGAGCAGCTCAGCCCAGGGCAGATTATTTTTGGTTTGGTATAGGCATAATGATCTCTTCTGCATTGGGGATTAAAAGGAAAAGTGTGATAAGAAAATATTTAAATACAATATTATGTGCCAATATGGTGACTGATCATGCCTAGAATCTACTCCTTTTATCTGAATAATGTTGAGATTAATTGAAGAGCTGTTGAAAATGAATGCGTGAATGACCACTTGCCTTCTTCTGCTTTTTTGTCCTCCGTAGGTTCATGGACTATATCGCACAACAGGTGCTAGTTTTGAGAAGGCCCAACAAGAGTTTGCATCAGGTGTGATGTCCAACAAAACTGTCCAGACCGCAGCTGCAAATGCAGCTTCCACTGCAGCAACTAGTGCCGCTCAGAATGCTTTCAAGGGTAACCAAATGTAGAGAATCTCCAAACAGTGCGCGATTACCTTTTGACTATACTTTTTTCTCCACTTACTGTATTCTATAAATATTTTTATGTTCAAAACACACAGTAAACACAGCATGTATATCTCCTATTCACTTGTGCATGGGCGAAAAACAGAAAAATTTCCTTGTCTTATTATTTACAGTTTCTTAAGATTTTAGTACCCCTTGCAGAAAAAAAATATTACATGCTAAATAAATATTCTCCATATTTTTGGGGGGATGAATGTTCAGCAAATTATTCAGTGGTGAGACACTGAAACTAATATGGTACTTATGATTAAAAGTGTATTTAGTACCAGCTGCAGTCATTCTTTCAAGAATCTTAGACTTAAGGATTATACATTGGAGCAGTAAATTGATGCTTTATTTCTTTTTTCTTATTTATATTGAAAGAAATAGGCCATCTCAGACTTATGGATTTTTAAATTGGCTTGCTTTTTAGTAGTTTCAGTCATCAATGAAGAGCCTGTGTGCATTTTGTAGCAGATAATGTAAATTTTATCTTTTTTTGTTTTTGTTTTTTAGAGTAGTTGATATTTTTATGTCAATCTATGATCTTGCATGGGTACCACATTTCTTAAAAGAATTAGTATTTTGGGTTCTGTGCTGCTTATGGTTGTAGGATTGGGAAGTTGTTTGTAGAATTATAGCAATGATTTTCTGTAATAGTTTCTTTTAAATAAGTTTATTGGGGTGCAATATGAGAATATAATATTCAATGCATTCTCCAAAAGAAAAGGTAGAAAATTGATGGGATAGAATGTAGTGATGAGAATACCTTTTTTTTTAAATTTTCAGTATTCATATCATAGTAAAATATTACTGTATGGAAACTTTGGTATATTTTTGTGGCTACCCTTTTTAATTGAATTGAGATTGTGTTTGATAGCTCTTTTTTGGGGTGTGTGTGTAATTTTTAATAGAGGTGTTCAAGTCTAGCTTAACTCCTTGTCCATAAAGAACGTACAGTATTTGAGATTGTTTTTTTGCCTCTCATCTCTAGTAGTATTAAATATAAAAAGATCCTGGCATTTTACATACACTTGAATCCCTAATACATATCAGTCTTTCAATTTTTGAGACAGACTGAATAGATTAAATTTTTTCATTAGTAGACAAAAGAAAACATTTAACTTGCACCAAGCAAGAAAATATATAGTTGAATGCATTAATTATGAATATAATCACTTTAAAATTGTTACTATGCAGCACAGGAGTTCATTCTTACAGTATACTTGGGTTGAAAGTTTGAATCATCTTTAATACTGATTAAGAGACTCAAGACATTTGTAAAGTCACGATACTGTGTTTTGGAAGTCATTAGCTAATTTAAAATTACAGAATAATAGGTAGTGATTTATTAAACTTGATTTTAAGTAAGGATCATTTATTGGATTATATTATTTGAACTGCACATCCCTTAAAAAAAAAATCAGATGGGCACAAATGGTTAAATCCTTTTCATTCTTCTCCCCAAATCTGGAGTTAAATAAGTTTCATGTTGGGTTTGGGATGGTGAGTTCTCACTATTGATGAAAGAAGCTTTGCATGATAGTGCTACTGGGTGACACAGAACCATCCAAGTGGTGTTTACATTTGATTTATTTGGGACTTTATTGAAATAATGTACTAGGAATATATTTCTTTTATTTTGATGAAAATAAGCATTCAGAGTATGAATTTAAAGCTCTTTGTGAATATTTCTGATCAGCGATAATCTCCACCTACTTCCTCAACCAAACAAGCCAGTTCAAGTTTTTCAGAATCTGTAATATTATTGAAAATCAGTTTCATCTGTGTGTTTTGAGTGTGGATTTTATGTACATTCAAAATGTTAACCACAAAATGCATCTCAAGTTCACTTTTGTTTTTCTTTAAAATGCAAATGAAAGATATGTCATGGAGACTTTTGAAAATGCTGAGATACTTTAAGAACAGGGATGCTTTTATCTGTTCTGTAGACCCCCATTGTTAAACAGCAAAGAATAATTACAACCAATGGTACCTTTTTTGTGTGGACGAGGTAAATGTTGTTATAAATTCAGTTATTTGGGTTAAAACAAGCTTATGAGAGAATTGTTTTTTAAAAACAAATGTACATTAAAATGATGGCAATGCTTACAGTTTGATAAGGTGTAGGGGTTTTAAATTCTTATATTTTCTATTAACAATAATTAGTAAATAGTCACATTTTCACTCAGCTAAAGATTGACATTTGTTAGTGCTTTACGTTTAATATTAACATTGCCCAGTATCAGAATCATGAAATGGTCTTTCACGGTGTAAGTACCCGTGTCATTTATCAGTTTGCAATATTAAGTTGTGGCTGTTTTATTTAAAACTAAAGTTTGAACACTGGAAAATCATTGCTCAGTGACTTGTAATTTGGGACTTGGATTATTTATGTAGGGATGTTTGTATATTTTGTCAGTGAGTAATACCGCACTGCCATCATGGTGACTGTCATGGTTCTATATAAACGCCCTCCATCTGTCCCCCTAATGTTGCATGTAGCTGGTGGTTTGGAATTTTTGTATATTTATTGTATTAACACAGAGTGTTCTAAAATAAAATGCTGTTTGGTGGATGTTTGTTTGTATAATTTTAAATACTTTGTTAGTACTTTAGAGGCAAAAAATTATGCTGGTTTAATATGTATAGAATTTCCATTCGAATTTTAAAAATAATCTGGATACTATCATTTACTGAACAAAATAAACATATAAAAGATTAAAAATTCTCGCCCTGGACGGTTTGGCTCAGCGGTTAGAGCATCGGCCTGCGGTCCGGAGAGACCCGGGTTTGGTTCCCGCTAAGGGCACATACTTTGGTTGCAGTTTGTCCTCGGTCATGCGGTGGCAGCCACTCGATGTGTCCCTTCACGTCGATGTTTCTCTCTGTCTCTTCCTCTCTCTCCCTCCCACTCTATCTGTACAAAAAAAAAAAAGATTAAAAATTCTCATCAACATAAAATGACAATTTTTCTGTTGCATTAGACCTTTGTAGGTAGTGGAACATGAGTTTCATTCATATTAAATATGTTGACCACTTTAAGGTCAAAATACACAGACTGCCTAGAGATTCAAAATGGAAAAATGTGTTTTGTGGCTCAGATTTTTCCTAGTGGGTTAAATTAAAACGAATACCTCTGTACTAGTATTAAATTAATTCAAGTGAACTTGAGTTCTGTTTCCTAACCTCGCTACCTATTGCTGTTTTAGATACTGATGAAAATGCCTGTTTGATGTTTTACTTGGTTATTTAAAGAGGATGTTAAAATATATATAAAATCATGTTCATAGTGAATCTTATTTTGAGAAATATGTGTTCAATTAAAATAGGAACAGCATTTTCAATTTTTTGAGTGTTACCTAAAAAAAATGAGTTTGGATTGTCATTGGATATGTCTCCTTCTATAAATCATGTTTAGATAATATATGGTTTGCATTTTAGAGGGAATTTATATTAGTTGTTTCTGTAAATTATTATTATTATTGTTTTTATCCTCACCCGAGGACATTCTCCCATTTTTTGTTCAGACAGAGCAGGAGGGAGAGAGAGGAAGAGAGAGAGAGAGAAACATCGATGTGAAAGGGACACATCGAGTGGCTGCCTCCTGCACGACCAACCAGGGTCGGGGACAGACTGCAATCGAGGTTCCTTAGCGGGAACTGAACCTGGACCTCTTTGGACCGCAGGCGGATGCTCTAACTGCTGAACCAAACCAGCCAGGGCTCTGTAAATTATTTGTAGTAGCATAATACTTTTATCTTTTTCTGAAAACACTGACAATTTAATTTTATCTTTATTGGTAAAATCTGTGTTTAGACTTTTACTATACAGAACTTGTTATAATTTTACCCATATTTTCCTGTTAGAATTAGGCTGTCAAACACATTTCACTGTATCTCCTTCTATTTTTTCCTTAAGGAGTATGTTTAGAGTAATTTGTTTATCCCATGTAATTAAGACCTTTAGGAGTGAAATAAAAGTGGTTAATGTAAAAATAATTGAGGATGGTCAAAAATAAAAAATACCTTATTTAATAGATTTTGAAGTATCATAATGTACATTTATTTAGAGTAGAATAAGATGTTTTAAAACATTAGAGTTTTTTAAAGTGTGTGTTTATTAAACTCAAAAGTTGTATGTCAATGGTTAAATATTATGGGAAGTGAAGTATTTCCATTAGAGATTAGGGTATATTTTATAAAACAGCATGCTTTTTGTATTGATTGGTATTCTTAAACATGATTTTATGGCTTTATCTTAGTATACAGAGAGCTAGAAAGAAATCCATAGACATTTTCTAAGCCAGGCATTGTCACTGTTCCGTCCTAGCTAGATATCTAATTTAAAGATTCTGGGAAAACAGGGAAAGACTCTAGTGTTCTTACCCTTCTTGGGGGTTCCATATTTAGAGTTTAACTTTGGGGTTTGGTAGGACAAAACTTAAACCTTTCATTAGCACTGTTAATGCTTTCAAATGGCAAGGGACATGGGAGCCCCCATGTAGCAATGCAGTGAGTGTTGAATCTTGTTTATCCAAATCTTGATTTGTTTTTCAGCTCCTATCTTTCTGGGTTTGGCATGTCAGATAGTGTAGCTAAAACCCATGTTGCCACTAAAACCCATTTTATCTTTTCTCTAATAAAGACAGAAAATAAATAAGCCTCTTCTGCCTTGTAATGTTTTATATACTTGTGTAAGATTACTCTGAGTATTATCTTCTTTACATTTAAACAGTTCTAATTTGTAAGATACAGTATGCAAATTTTATTTTTGTAAACACAGATATAATCCCAGAATTCTCCAGAACTTTAAAAATATTTTGTGGGCCAGTGATTCTCAAGATAAATCATGGTTCTGGTTGTTGTTACTGTTGGTAATTTGTATGATTCTTCAAGTGTTTTGGGCTGGGAAAAACCCCCCCACCAAAAATCACTGTTTTATCAGGTGATCACAGTGATTCCTGTTATAGTCACCTCCATAAAAACTGAGCTCACTGGACACACACATATCTCAGACATTTTTTTCTAGAATGAAAGTAATATATGTCTGTTGAACAACTAAGAAATATGGAAAGTGATAAACGAGAAAATAAAAATAATATGTAATTTGTCATCTAGGGATATCACTGCCGGTGTTTCATTGGATTTTTTCTGTGCATACATATTTTATGGAGTTAAGGGATATAAACAGTGTGGGTCTTTAAAATCTTATTTTTCCTTTACTTAACATCATATCATAATCACCTGATAGTTTAGCTTTTAAAGTTTTTTTAATTTATAAAATTACTACACTTCAGTCTAAATTATAGGAAATATTTATAAGCAAAAGAAGGTAAAGTTGCTCATAATTTTACAGATAAACTATTAATATTTTGCTTATGTCTATTAATTTTCTCAGAAGACAACTTTTTCCTAAATTTAAAAAATAAGGTTTCCCTCTGTATTCTTGTGATAGATCCCTTTAGGGATATTTCTCTAGCGCTCACAAGCTCATTTCTCTGTGGCCTCTGAAGACCATATTGGTAGTGGATGTCATCTAGCCACAGTGGACTCATGCTTGGCTCATCACTGATTCTCCTGGGTGGATTTGTCCAGAACTGTACTGTTCCAGAATTGGAACATGGGGTAGCCATGTTGTGCCATGAGGAAGGAGTCATCAGAACGCTGAGGAATGAAGCAGACCTGCAAAGACAAGTGGGATGGAAGTACACAGAAAAGATCTTGATGGCTTTGCATTTCCTATACGGGGACAGACTGCTCACCCATACTTCATCCCATTAATCCCAGTAATATTCTTACTCTGTTTTCTCCCTGAGCTACCTTCAGTTGGTTTCCTGTTACTTTCAGCTGGAGAAGTTTAACTAACACAAAGGTTTGTAATCTATTTTCAGTTATGATGTAAATACATGTTGAACTTTTTTCATATTGCCAAATGTTTTTCTGTAGCATTTAATAGCTGTACACCTATCTTTATATGCATGTATCATGAATTATTATTTTTTTAAAATGTTTTTGTATATTTTAGAGAGAGAGGAAGGGGGGAGATAGAAACATTGATGTGAGAGAGAAACATAGATAGGTTGCCTCCTGCCCGCCCCCTACTGGGGATTGAGCTCACAACCTGGACATGTGCCCTGACTGGGAATTGAACCGGGACCTCTCAGTCCATGGGATGATGCTCAATCCATTAAGCCACACCGGCTGGGCTATAAATTATTTTTTGAAGTCCTGTTATTCCTTCAGGTTCTGAGTTTTAGTTTATTATTATTATTATTATTATTATAAATGATTTATCAAGGAATATATTGTTGCTAAATTTGGGGACCCAGGCTTTTTTCTTTCTTAGGACAAATTGCTGGGTCAAAGCATGGGCATACTTTTTAAGACCTTTGATGAGCACTGCCAAATTGCTCTCCAGAAAATTGTATCAATGTATGCCTCTGTCAGCAGTGTACGAAAGGGCCCCTTTATCCACACTCTACCAACATTGGATCTCCCTTTTCTAGTACTTGCCACCAATAGGTTTTGACAAATAATCAGGTGGTTTGTTTTCTGAGCATCCTCGTTTCCATCCCATAGATGTACTTGTCCAACACTACCTGTTTGTTTGCTTTGTTTTTGTTTTTTGTTTGTTTTGCTAACTAGGAGTGGCCATGTATCCTGCTTCATGAAAGCACAAAGCTAAAGAAGATTAGTACAGGATGAAAAAGAAATGGCGGCCTTAGGTAGCCAACTCATTGAGCCTCTCAAAGTAAAATTAGATTGGATTTAACAACTATGTTATTCTTAACAGTTTTTTTAGAACAGCTCTTAGTTTTTGAGATCGATTCTAAATGATATTCTGTCTGAGCAGACAGAAGATTCTCTTAATTTACTTCTGATAATTTTCACTTATTGAGAATGCATTGTATATCCAAGACTATACTAAATGCTTTACCAACAGCACTTTACTCCTCACACCCAAACCCATGGTATAATTTCTGTTACTGGCCTCATTTTTATAGAGGAGTAGATAATCACCCGAACCACTCGGTGAGAGAACAGTGTCATGGAGCAGAGCACCAGTCTCTCCAGGGAGAGCCAGCTAGACCGGGGTCCCCCGACTCCTGCCAAGTGTGAGGCTGCTTCTGTCACATGGTGCCACCTCTCTCCAAGTTTCTGTTTCTTTTCCATCCTTCCACATGTGCAGTAATTCATATCCATCTTTTAGGGACAGTGGATCCTATGAGAAAAGGTCAACCAAGGAAACAATTACAGCGTGTATTTTGATGTCTCCACACCAAGGCCTAGCTCCACAACTTGTGGGTGAGTACCTGCTGCTTGCTCGTCAGCAGCATTAACTTCCTAAATGGTCTTTTGCTTCTGTGTTTGGAGGAACTTTTATTGAAGACAAATCCTTATTTAATTATTGGTTTAACTATGAAGAAAATATGCCTCTTAATGTAATTAAAATAGCTGCTTATCCTGGATGAGAGATTATTTATAATAAGAAGATAACAAAAATTGCCAAACTGTCATTTGTTTTACCACTTTCATATACCCGATGAATTTATAGTGTCTGTTTTCAGGATTGAGTAAATTGAGACACATGGTGTCATCTTCAAAGGTATGAAAAATTACCAGATTTTTTTCTGAAAAGGGAGGAAAGAGCAGTGTATTTATCAGGTGTCCTCTTATGGTGTGGCCCTTTTGGAATGATAATTGGAAGTTATTTTAAGTTTACTGCACAGAGATGTTGGCATCCCCAAGGGCTTGTGTGGGTCGTCTTCTCACCCTGTCATTCTGGGTAGAAGGAAACTACAGCTGTTTGAGTATGTACACTTTGGTGTCAAACCTGTGTTTGAGTTTGGCTTTGCCACTTAGTTTTTAACCTGGGGCAAATTAGTTAAGTTACTTAGTGACAGTTCATTTATTTATAAAGTGAGGATAATAGTTTCTACTGATAGGGTTTTATGAATAAATGAATTTTATGATGTGCTTAGCACAGTACTTGCACATAGAATGTACACAATACTTAAAAACTTATTGTCTCCCCATGTGTATCGATGACTCCCACATCTCTCTCCAGCCTGGTCTTCTCTCACAGTGTATTCCTAGCTGCACACAGGCCCTCTCTCTTGGCAGCCTTAGCTGAACCTTTCCACCTTCATTGTCTGCTTCTCTTGGATTCCTGATCTTGATGTTGGTTGGCATCGCTTTCCACCTATGCCCAAACGAAATACCTGGGAGACATCCTGGACTTTTTCCTTTCCTTCCCTCACCGAACTGTCCATTCTTTCTCCCTAACATTTAATTCATCCCGTTGTCCTTGTGCTATTACTTGCCTTAACTCAGGCTTTCTTCTCTTGAAAATACATTATGGTGGTTTCCCCCAAACATAGGCACTTGGTGGACTGCTTTTCCTGCAGCTGTTAGAGCTTTGAGGCTATTTGACTAAAAAGCCAAAGAGCTGCTAATATCTACATTTTTGATTGATTTTTCTTTTCCCATGTGGTTTTGCTACTTCCTCTTATTTATTTATGCTTTTATCTACATCCTGTGTAGAGAACTGCTCATGTCTTAAAGACTTATCTTGAAGAACTCTTCAGGGTGAGGAGGAAGCTGCAAGGAAGAAGATAGTGTAGGGGCAGCAGAAGTGTGGCCGAAAACACATGACTGCGCAGCTGGTAGGGGCCGTGACATAAAGGCAATTATTGGTTCTTGCTGCTTTGAAGAGTAGGCTAAAAGATTGCTTTGATGCCCTTATTCTCTAGTGTTTGAGTTGAAAACGTACTGAATTACTGGAAACTACTGAAATAACCCACTTAAAGGAAATGTCAAGCATCGTCAAGACTGTTCTTAAGTGGTTTTATGTTAAGCAAAGACTATAAGGAGAACCAGGAGAAAGTTGAATGCAATGTGTTCTGGAAGATCAATCATGGGAAGTTCATCCAGTAGCAAAACAGCTAAGTAAAAAATAAGGATGGCCCTGACCAATTTGGCTCAGCGGTTAGAGCATCGACCCACAGACCAAAGAGTCTCTGGTTTGATTCCGGTCAAGGGCATGTACCTCGGTCGTGGTTTGGTTCCCCAGCCTTAGTCAGGGTAGTGTGGGAGGCAACCAATTGATGTGTCTCTCTCACATTGATGTTTCTCGCTCTCTTACCTTCACACTCTATCTAATGATAAATGGAAAAATATCCTCAGGTGAGGATTTAAAAAATAAAATAAGGATGAAGTGGGAAGTACACATGAGGGGTCCACAGCCTCTGTTGAAATTTAAAGCCAGGGTCCTCTCTCTTGTGGATTAACTCTGCAGAAAAATGAAATAGCAGCTGAAAAAGCAACTGAAAATTTCCAATTTTTCAGATTATTTAGGTCATAATTTGTTTGGAAAATTTTTTTCTTTAGTGATTTGGATAATTTTGTCAGCTTTTAATTTTGGTATCTATTAGGAACCTAGGAAGTGTCAGGTATGTTTAGAAACCAAAGCATAAAAGTAGTTTTCAGCTGTCACAGGCCTTAGATCAGGAAAAGAAATAACCATTTTTGTTTGTTCTAGCAGATAAGTACTTCATGAGATACTGGGAGTAAGAAGGATTGTTAATGTCATCTTTGAGAATTCTGTTTCTGGGTGAGACTTTTTATGGGCAGATCACCTTCGGACATGTGGATGTGGAACTGCTCCATGTTGGGCTCCAGTTTTGGTGTTGGAATGTGACTTCAGTAGACTTTTTTCTGTCATTATTATACATATTTCTTTTTTGGTAATGCTTTCCTAATGCTTTGAAGCATTTTCATAATTATTAATTTTACTTTAAAATTAAGATACTTGTATTTGAGAGGGTGTTTTTCCCCTTTTATAATTACAGTGATGCTTCTCCAAGGAAGAAATATATACAGTACCTATTTTGAAGTTAAAGATAACCTAAGGTAGGGATATATATGTTACTAATAAATGGAATAGTTAAAAAACCTGAATATATTTTTTTCCTATCATCAATATTACATAAATTAGTATTTAAGATAAAATTTCAGATAGCTATTTTCTTGATCTTATTATACACAACATATTAGAACCAACACACTTAGACTTGAAAGAATCAGAAAGAGTTTGCAAAGTCTGGTTTAATTCAGATCTGGGGAAAGGAGCGGAGCACGTTGTGAACATACATATGCACAGGAACCTAATCAATGCTAGACAAACAATGTATTAGTTTACAGTATAATAGGGTAACCACAAATTTGAAGGCTCAAATTGAGTCCATCAGCGGTAAATACAATTTTATATTTGGCTCAAGTGGCTGTTGAATATCAAGTGGTGCTGAGTTCTTCCGAAGCACCTAATGACCTCCCCCCCAGTCTTGGAAGGAGTTTCAACACAGTCTCAGAAGAACTCCCAGTCGTGCCTTTAACTCTTTTGGCCCTTGGGAGTCACTGCTGCCCAAATACAAATGCAGGCCAGGGATTTCCAGTGGCCACATGTTATTGCACAGAGAGGTCTGTTCTAAGTCAGACTCTTATGGCTAAGAAGGTGTGAGATCAGCCCTTAAATAGTGGTCTAGCATTAACATGGTTTATCAAAGCATGTTAAGAAATAGCTCCTTAGTGATTATGTACCAGCTACTAGTTATCACACTAACAGAAAAGGCATAGGGCAGCTTCACATTTCACATGAAAGACTAGCATTAACTGGGCCTGGCTTGCCAGCTTAACGTTCACATAAATCTAGTGATTATTTTAATTTAGACCCAGAAAAAAATTATTTCATACCAGTCTTTTCTTCACATAGGTTTGTGTAGCATTAAAATCATTATGGGTTAAATACTAGGCCATAATGGCAAAACTGTTTAACTCTCCTTTGCCAAAACAGAAACAATCCCTGTTCTGACGCCTGTCCAGTTTCCAAAAAACAAAACATACATACACCTTTGTTATTGCACATCTTTCACACAGACTTGTGTATGTATAATATATATATATATTTAAATATGCTACACATAAAAAAAGACTATGGCACTTTACAGAATACATGTTTTAACAGAGATCATTACACCACAGATGTTTGAAAACTATACAGAAACCCTTACACAGTTAATGTAACATTGTTGAATCAGCACACAGGTTTAAAGAATCCACAGAATCCAAGGCAAATATTTCTGCCTTCTTGGAGTTCATCGAGAAGCCCAGCCCATCACAAAACTTTAAGCACAAATGCAGGCAAAAATAAATAAGACTTTTCTGGTAGTTATAATGGTCCAGGTATATTAGGTTTTTAGACTGAGGTGATTAGGTGATTGATAGAAATTTATTAGAAAAATAGGTGTGGGTCAACAATCAGTCTAATTATTTTTAACACATTTCTTTCAACATATTCCCCATATTCAGTGGTTTTTCATCAGCACTGCAGTTTTGGTCTAGACTAGCATGATTTTGGATGTTCCATTCATCCCAACCAAATCCTGGCTAATGGACTGAAGGTCTAAAAGGCCCAACATTACCTCTTTCTGTTTCTCTGCTCTGCTAAGTGTTTGAGTAACTTTAGTGGTTTTGGGTTTTATGTGCATGTGCTTTTGTCTTTCGTGGCATTCAGACTAATGAAGTAGACATTGTCAAGTGACTTTCTTCTGGCTGAGAGAGGTCACATTTTCACTTGTGATTTTTGTTATGTGTGATCTAGGGATATACTACCCCTTAGCCAAAGAGCAGTCAGGAAGTAGAGATGAGGAATTGCTCAAAGAGTCCTCCAGGCTTATGACAACTTGTCTGTATGGAGGGTGAGAATGTAAAATTAGTGTTAGAAAATGAGTTCTCCATCTTATACAGGAAAAAAAAAAAGTGAATCTTCTGATGATACATTTAGGGGGAAAAAGAAAAGGTTTTTATCAAGATAATTTGCCTGATGAAGTGAATTGCTATTTTTAAATGAAAATTATTGCCAGGGTTTAAAAGTTGCTGTGGTGGCATCAGGACTGGGTGAGAGCATATTAACACTCCATCAGGTTCAGGAGCCCAGCCCAGTGGCTGCCAAAAGCTGTTCCTATGTGGTATCAGAGAGGGTTAATGTTTCCCGAGCCCTTAACCTAGGCTGCTGGGGACATGTATTTACCCCTTCTCTAGTCAAAGAAAGGCACAGGATTTACATTTTGCTTATTCTGAATTTGGACTAAGAATGGTGAACTCATTAAGGCCTAGTTCCACACCCCTGCCCCTCCTGGCCTTAGCTCTCAACCTATAAGGAAAGATGGTTTCTGGTATAGGCCAGAAGAGAGGAAAACTTTAGTTGTGCCCTTCCATTGATGCATAAAGCTAATAGTTTTTCTGCACCCAGGCATGGTTTCAGACTCACACAGATTTAAGAGACACACATTGGGCAAGGTTGTAAAACCTGAGCCAGAGTTCTATGTCTGGTGGCACTTAGCACACAATATCTTGCCCAAAGAGACCTAATCCTTCCAGAAATCTGGCAGGTCCATTCCACTTGCTTAAGTTGTTATGGAGTGTTTCTGTAACATTCTGCAATTCTTACCTTAAGGGTAATACCAGACTAGGCTCTTTCTGGCCACTTTGATTACTCCAAAGTAAATTTGAGGTGATGGCTAATACCATTTTCTGAATCAATGACATTGGTAATTTAAGAAGCTAGATAAAAGTGCCTGGACCCTTTTAAGAGTGGTAGTTGATTGTTTTTGTAAACAGGTATAGGCAGGTGTTATGAGCTTGGTCTAGCAGTCTTTCTCTGCATGAACTTTCTATTCTGTTTTCCTGGGGATGAAGCCTTTGATGCAGCTCACCATTTGCAGCATTTTAATGTTATTTCAGTCTGCTTTCAGGATCAACACCTAAAAAAACACTTAACTCCCATGATTAGCTCCTTTTTTATGCACTGAATGGCATTTTGCTGCTGTTGGGGCTGAAAATATAGCTGACTACAGCGTGGTCAGCAAACAGTGGGAAAGGTGTCCCCACAAGTGCTGAGGTTCTGGCAGGCTCTCCCAGTGATCATCTGAATGAGCCACAGCTGGCTTGGAGACCTCTGTCCCTGGAATGGGAACAGCGAGGTTTCCCTGGGCAGTCGGCACCATCCCAGCCCTAGAGAAAACACGCGGTCTCTGCTGGAAGAGGAGCCTGGGCCAGCCCTGGTGCTAGCTTGGCTGCTGGGAAGCAGAATGAATTTGTTTCCATTAGCAGGATTTGTACTTTTAATCTCATGATTTTATAGGCCCTTATTCTTTCTTTAATCTTAGAGACCGTTCATGTGCTTCACCTGAACCCAGAATTCTGCCTCGAATAAGTTCCACAGTCCCTGCTCAGCCCCTTTGGTGAGCTAAGCAAGAGAGCATGTCTTGCTATGCCCTTTAGCACACATCCTGTCCCCAGTAAGTGTGTAGTCTCCAACTGAGACAGCCTGAACGAACCGGGAGGAAACACAAGCCCCAATACATCATTCTAAGTCAGAGATGCTCACAGCCTTGTGGCAGAAACATAGCTCAGAACAGCCTGCAAATCTGGCTGACAGTCTCTTCTGTCACCAGAGAAATGCTGCTTTTAGGGTCAAGATCATTATCCTTCACTGAGCCTTGGGGGAGACGCAATCTGACAGAACGTGTCAGTTAATGTCAGGGTTTATGTATGTTTTCATGTTCCATCTCTTACAATGTACAGTCACTTTGCTGAGCTCGATGTTGCCTCTCATTGGTGCTGTTAAGGCTCGGGCTGTGGAATGTGGCTTTGGTAGGGAAAGGCTAGTTCTTCATTTGACTCAAACGACGAAACCAAGGTGGACTGTTTCATAAGGTTGTACAAGGAAGAAAATGGCATTGTTGTCTCTTCCAAATTAAAGGAGGCAGATAAGGTTTTTCCCCTCTTCAATTTCCTCCTGTACTTTGTCACTGGAGGTTGCAATTTCTGCTTGTGCGGAGAAGATGGCACAGATGAAGGTGAGGACTGTCCCACCGATGGCAGTATAAAAGGCCCAGCCCAAGGAGCAGTCTCCGGGTTTGTAGGCCGATGCATAGTGTCCACAGTAGGAAATGGCCTTCTGGCAGCCCCAGCCAGCAGGGTAGAGGATCAAACCGAGGATAAGGAACAGGCCTGCAGGCAGAAGACAAAAAAGGTGAAAACCCCCATGGCCCCACAGTGTCGAGTGAGTGTATAGACCTGTTGTAATTGTTACTTGGTTTGCCTGCTTTGGGCTATGGCATCCGTTCTGTAACAGTAAGTGTTAGGGTCTGTTTTATGCAACCTATCTGGCCTGATCAAGAACTATATTATCACTTTATTAGAAATATTTTTAGCCTCTTTTATACATGTTAGAATGTGTACCTACTAATAATTTCTCTTCTAGAAAAGCAAATGAACTTGTTACTGTTTCTTCTCACAGGGCTCTTACTGAGGTGAGCATTTCCCTCTGGTCTAAGGGCAAATAAGTGGGCCTTGTTTTTGTGAACAAATTTTATAGGAACACAGCTACATCCATTCATTTATGGATTGCCTATGGCTGCTTTTGTGCTGGACAGCAGAGTGAGCAGTTGCTATAGACCTTGGCCTAGACCCCGGCAGAAAACATTTGCCAACCCTGGTCTAAAGGAATTCACACATTACCATCTGGCGTCACCCTGGTTAAATGCGAGAGACCTGATCTTACCCTGATGTCAATGCTTTACACAAGCCGATAGGAGTCTGATGGCATTCACTAACAACCAACTGCACTCTTCAGACAGATTTTGTATTTACAGTACATTTAGAAACAAAAAAACATTTGCAAATTTAAGCTGTTAGGTGAATTCAGCCTTGAGTAGACACTAATAAGCTCTGTTTCCATTTTGCTAACTCCACCACGCTGTCATACTAAACATCTGTTTTTCTGTTCCTTACAACTCTATTGCCCACGGTGTAATTGAGTGTTATTTTTCCTGCCAGCCTGGTGGGTTAGGAGCTTACTCCAGGGCCAGGACTAAGGTGAGGCAAGTGAGGCAAAATGTAAGGAGATACTTTTAGGTGTCTGCCCCTAGGTTGCGGGAACAGGAGAATAAGGAGGTCACCCGCCTCGCCACCAGTCACAGAGCACAGCTGCTTATCAGGAAGTCTGGAACTTGGAATGACAAGGCAACTGCGGCCCCCAGTCTTACCCAGCAGAATTTTCTTTGTGGATCGAATAAAGCTACCCTCTCACAGCATTTTATGTGGTGGGGGAAATGGTTTTCTCTCAAAAGTGACACCTATATATCAAGATTGCTAATTTGTAACCTAAAAGACCTGTTTTTTAGATGCCATGGAATAGCAATTCTATCTTCGTAAACTAATCTTGGCTCAATTCTCTCTTCCTACCTTTCCTGAAATCCTCTGTGTTTACCACACTAAAGCTTCCAAGTCGTTTCAAGCAGCTTCCCCACAGAAAGACCGTGACTGAATTGGTGGTAGTATTAGGTTTGAAGGAAGATCAGGGACAGTGTTTGAAGCCACCGATCACAACATTCATAGAGCTGTCTTCATCCTGTGATGGCATCTCCTTGCCAAGCATGGCAGTGCAGCCCTAGAGGGGTTTGTGGTCTGACGGTCTCTACATCCCAAATTAATCCCAGTGTTCTAGTTTGAGGCCTCGGGGACTTTCTAGCAGGGGTGCAATAGAGGGAATCTGCTCATATGCTCATTTTCTGAAGGGTGCTTCACAAAGGAAACTTTGTAGCCCTGCAGCCTTCTATTTCTCTATGGGTCTGAGTGTTGGGAGCAGGGAGCAGCGATGTGTAGCTAGGGAAGTGTGATCTGTGCTGGGAAGTAAAAACGAAAGGTGCAGCGGACTGAGGCATCTTGGAAGGTTGCTGCTAGAAGTGACTGAGTACAGAGTAAATGCCCCCAAGGGTAAGGCAGCCAGTGGAGACAGTGTTGATGTTCTGGAATATGCAAGGTCTTGAACCAGCAATCTTGGTTTGACTGAGGTCAATTCCAAGGCTAGAAATCCCATAGCAGAAAAGCCCCTACAGTCTAGTCTGAACTAAAACACAAATCAGGAAGACCACAGCAAAGACTCACTAAATTAAGAGATGGTCAATTAGTAGTTAGGAGCTCAGAACTGGGAGTAAGATAGAGGTCTGAATCCATCTCTGACATTTATAAGCTGAGTGACCTTGGAAAAGTCTATTAACCTAAGTATGATTCTCTCCTGTAAAATGGGCTAATGCTTAACTCATAAAATGGTTGTTGAGTATTGAAGTATGTGAAGAATACTTTCTACATCCAAAACAGTAACAACAAAACCAGAATATAGACTAGCACCTGACAGTAGGTTAAAAGCCCTTTGCAGGCCCCTCCCATACATAAACACAGTTTAAAGTTTACCAATTATGCATAAGCAAGTCAGCTTATTTTTGAGGGTATATTTTGAAAGGTGTAATTTGGAGAGAGGGGAGATCCCAGGCTACCATTCAGTACCCTTGAAAGAATAAACTATCCTCATCTTAACAGGTCTTACTCAGCTGGAGAGATCCAAAAATTATTTAGCTAATTCTTTTATGTTCCCAAAGCCTTTGATAAATCCTAATTAATTCCCACCTTGTTCCCTAGGAAACCTCACCCAAGGTATATGGAACCTTTAGTTTCAACCTTGGGTCCTAAGTTACCACCCTGGGAACCCGGAGGCACCATCCCTGGGGACTCTTAAGGATTCAGAGGTACTCTCTGGCGAGCAGCCTCTGCTGCTCATCCTATAAAGACCACCGTGTTCAAATCTGAATTATGGCTCCAATTAAGTATTAATTACACGTGGGTACTACATGGCTCAAACAAGCCCAGTAAGCAACATCAGTGCGTTTTACTATGATAGGGACAGAAGGCAGAAAGCGTGGAGTTCGTTGTCACATAGCAGCCCTGCTGCCCTGTGCCAGGCTGACAGAATACCTTTGGGGAAGTAGGCAGGTTTAAAATAAATAAATAATATTATTATTTGAATAGCAGGCCCCTTTTCTCAGTACAACCAAGAACATTCCCTCTAGTATTTCTGCCTAGCTCTCTTAGCTGCTGCTTTTTCTGATAGCTCAAGTTCTCCAAGTGCTTTGGGCCGTCTTAAAAGCTGGTGGCTGCTACTGGCCAATTTGTGATTGGTAGTAGGGAGACTTGCCATATAAGGGTGCCATGCTTATGAGTTTGGCAAAAGCCTCAGCTTGAATACTTATAAGCCCACAGGGCATTCCATGTGGGAGGGCAATAAACAGTGAGCTGTGGTGTATCTCCAAGTCCCAGTGGATGTGATGTGTGCTAAGACTACGTGCTCCCAACCTGGGCAGCAGCCGAGATAAACACAGTGCCTTGTCCACATTCTCAGTGGGCAGAGGGAAGCAGGTGCTGTCTACCCTACCCTGGCTGCTGCACCTCTCCTCCCAGCACTCATCCTAGTTGTCATTAGCATGGTTAATGCCACGAAAATGCAAGTCCTGTGTCTGATAAGGCAAGAAAAGAGCAGGCCTCTAGGTAAAAACAAAGTCACATCTGTCATCTGTCTGAGTGTTCAGAAAAAGGCTCTTCTATCAAAGGAACTCCGGACAGTTGAGTGATTCAGGTGGCCCTCTCAGGTGACTGCCTCACCTAGGCCTCATCTCTCAAGGTCCTGATTCACCACTGCACGTAAGGCCCAGTGCAGCTTCTGAGCAACCCTTTGGTCCTAATAAGCATCCCCTAGTGAAGCACAGACATCATTCAACCATACAGTTTTCCCATCTCTCAGAGTACAATCCAGCTCCCTCTCCCTGGCCTTCAGGCCCCATGTGACCTGTCTGAGCTCAGCTCTGCCCGTCACACCCTGGTTCTCTCTGCTCCAGCCACACTGCCCCCTGGCTCTTCCTTGGACATACCAGGCATGCTCAGGCCTTTGCCGTCCCTCTCACCTGCCATGTGCCCTCCTACCAGCTAGCTTTCATGCCACCTCCTCAGTGTGGTCTTCTGTGCAGTCTACTTAAAATTCAACCACCTTGCTGTCCCCCTTCCTTGCTTTGTTATTTCTTAGCATGTATTATGGACACAGACTATCTTACTTTGAATCATATGAAACTGTCAATATTTGGCCTTTTATTTTAACCTACAAAAATGGTCAGTTTGTATGTTTCAGCCTACTATTCTACTTTGTTATTTTGATTGTTATCCATTTCCATCCGAGACTTTAAGTTCCATGAGGACAGGGATTTTTGTATATTTGGTTTACTATAATCCTGGTGTTCAGAAGGTGAGGTGTGCTCAGGACTGAGTTTCACGGAAGAACTGAGCCAGAAATGTCTGATGGAGCCAGAGAAAGGCAGTTCCTGAAGTTGTGCCAGCCCATAATGGTCTCTGGGGCCTTTCTATTGCCTTGCCGTACTGCATCCTTGTTTCGGGGTGTGTGCTTTGTGGAGGATGATAAAGTAAGAGACTAGGCCAGTGGGCATTTGCTTTGCTTTTGACTGGCATCTCTCCCTGGTGCCTGGCCAGGCAGTGGCAGGCCTAACTGGGAGGGGAAGGAAAAGCAGACACAGTGATACCTGCCAGTAACCAAAGAAAATAGCTGCTCCTGAAAGTAGCTCAGAGGGCTGTCATCTCGGCCATGGCTTGACGTGATAGGATGGTACCAGGATTGCACCATTTTCCACAACAAAAGACCTCCTAATCCTCATGTCCTCTAACTTCTCTCTTGCTGACTGCCTCCTAGTTCACTGTACCAAAAGGTTTAGAAGATACCAGCATCTGTTCACCATGGGGTCATCCGGGGGAGATGACTCAATCTTTTCTGGAGAATAAGGCTTAATTACCCTACCGATGTCACCACACACTGGAGACAGAACCCGGACAACGTCCCCGAGACCTGCCATATGGCAGAGGCTTCTCCTATCAGTCAGGCACCAGCCATTACCGTGCAGTGCCCATCAGGCCTCTGCTATTTTAGTAATGTTTTCCTCTACCTGGATTCCCATCCTGCTGCATGGGAATTTTCAGAGTCTCTATGGGTAACTTCAACATGTGGTTTGGGTTTAACTCAAATAATGAGATGCCATGAGCTATGTCTCATCACTGCTTTTCCAGTGCCAAAACACATAGAAGGTGTTAAAAAAAAAAGAAAAAGAAACACACCA